TTATAGTTTTTCCTTCTCTCTACGAAGCTTTTTAAGTTGAGGCGAGGAGAAACGGTCAAATTTGACGAATAGTGTTTCTTTTGGACAACAGATTTCAAAACAGAATTTCAGATAGGATGTAATATTAGAGATATTGTCATTAAGTGAATCAACATTAAACAAATCCCATCTTGTGTCACTGAGCATGTTTCTAAGATGATGTACGTTCTCATTTGAGTAGCATCTGTGAACAACTTTCTTAGACAAGTTTGAGAAGGCTTTACTGTGTAACTTTCCGTAAATTTTGGGTAAGACTCGTACAATACAATGATCAGAATTGAAGAGCGGGGCTCTTTTACGAGCTTCGTATATTCCAGAATCATTTATAAATACTAAATCAAGTGAAGTATTTTGTCGAGTTGGGAAATTAACAACATTTTCATGGCCCAGCAATGTAATAAAACTGCAGTCGCTGGAGTTGAAGTCGCCGGTCACTATAGATAAGGAGTTACCAAACGAAGCAGCAGCAAAAATAGTGAATTCATCAGCGAAGATAGATAGTTCTGAGGGACTGCAACAAGGTGTGATATAGATATTTGTGACAAAAATGGAGCTATACTTAGGTAAGTGTTTAGGTCGACATTTTACAGTTATACAGTCAATATTGTCATTTGAGAATTTGAAGCAGACGTTGTTGGCAGTAGACCACTGAGAATTAATAAAAGTGGCAACACCACCACCTCTCTTCTTCTTTGAGCTGCATCGGTCTTGTCTGTAGATTGTGAACCCACTTAAGGAGACTAAATTATCGTCATATGAATCATGGAGCCAAGTCTCTTGAAGAGTGATTACACCAGTATTACAATATACATTTGAGTATAATAGAGAATGCAAGTAGTTAATCTTGTTCGATAATGACCTGCAATTTGTGCTCATAATCACAGGAACAGTCATCTGATGCATTGGAGTACACTTTAATGATCTCTGCCAACCTCCATGATGCTTTTTCTTAACGTTATTATATACTCGTAAATCAACAGGTTGAAAACATTTTAAATAATCGCGAGAGTAAGTAATGCGACTTGGATACATAATTGAATAATTAAAACAAAATAAATCCGAGGAAATAGATGCAATATGTAGGATGGAAATTTCGGTAGCCCAAGATTTAAGCAGGCCGCCAACTAGGTATGAGCGTAAGGTGTTAGATGCACGAAAGTACACTCTTGTGTTATGATCGTTAAGGATTCGCTTTATTTCATCGGATGTTTCTTTGCGGTAAGGAACCACCGCTGTACTAACCCAATTCTTAGCTGCAATATTCAGGAGCATCATTATCTTAACATTTTAAATATCTTTTTATGAAGGCTTCGGGATAATTATTTGATTCAAGAGTGGTAACTAGACGTTTGGCCCTGTGGATCAGATTCTTGGCCACAGTTACCTTGGTGATAAATGGGTGAGCTGTATAGTAATCTAGGTATCTATCCGAATATGTCGGCTTTCTGAAAATGTTTATTTTAAATTTGCCACCTAATTTTCTTTTTACGAAGCAGTCCAGGAATGCCAACTCATTTTCATCGGATTCAGCCTCTTTGAAAAACTTGACAGTTTCTGACATATTATTTGTTGAGTGAAAACGTTCATCTTAAAACTACGTTTCATTATGATGAAGGTATCATCTGCGTATCTTAACCACATCTTTGAAGGACTAGGGCATCTCATAATTGGATTTGTTTCCAGTGAGTGCATAAACAGATTGGCGACTAGCGGAGATACTGGTGTTCCCATAGCAATGCCTCCTGTTTGACGATAAAGAGCCCATCTGAACGTAAATAACGTGGATCAAAGATACAATTGTAATACCTTCATAATTTCTTCGGGATTTAAAGGACAACAACCACTGAGTTCGTCGTCAAATTACTTTCAAAACATTTATCACATTATTATGATCATCGTCAGTATTATTACTTGATCCACATACTCGCCGTCATTGGTTGACATTTTTTATGTATAAATCTATGTAAACTAGAGTAAAGCCTGAAGAAGAACTAATTGAAAACAATATTGTTCGCTTATATGTCTTCTTCTAATATTAAAAATGGGAATATTTAGAGGTAGTGAAATATAGCCTTTGGAAATTAACTACCATAATAATGAAACAGAAGGAACGGAATACTTGCGACCAACAGGAAGGGTTCAGACGATCTAAAATTTGTAGATAATTTATTTCTGATTGCCAAACTAACACTCAGTCCTAAGTTTAAAGAAGGGGCTGACAGAGGAGAATGGACTTCGAACAACAATAACAATCTAAATCAGCGAGAGAAACTTGAAAAAGTCACCCAATTTCACTTATGTGTGCAATGCTGTTTGAACTACAGGACATAGAACGTAGGAAAGGGGAGGCGAAATGTACACTTAATACCGTGAAATCAATGTGGATTGAAGAATAAGATTTCAATTTTCAATCCGTGTCTAAACAGTATGTGTCTTCATATGGTTCAGATAATTGTTGCACCGCTGAAATCCTTTCGAAAAGCTTTTTGCAGACTTCCATCAACAGCTGCCTTAGCTGGCTACAGAATGAAAATGAACTGACCGACTGAAATAGATAAGTTACAAGAAACTCTGGCGACGGACGAACCATGAACATATCGCTCAACAGATGTAAAAAATAGGCACAGATGGAACACACAATGTGATGAATGTTTATTGACATAGCTTAGAGGGTGATTCGACTTGACTATTGCACGAATTTACGGAAATGTCATAAAGCATTGCAATAATAAGGGTTACCTGACTCTTCAGATTTGTATAACGTCTCAAATTATCTGAATAAACTCTATAGAAGTGAAAGATATTGCACCCGCTACTTGCAGAAAAATTTCCCAAATGACAAACTTAGACAATGTAGGCAAAAGTAATATGATATGATTACCAGTCAATCCACACTTACAAGGATGGCATACTCCAGGGTAATGGCAAACATGGGTTACTCACTGAAGTCGGTAACTGACTACAGGAAAACCTTGGCTTTAAGCCACTTTTGATGAGATACTGTCTACTCTTGTATCATAGATTACACTGTCGAAATACGTGTGAAGTGGTTTCTGATCTGCTTCAAAGTCTCTTTCCGAAATATTCCAAATGGTGCATTTTCTTGGAGTAATCGAGAATATAAGTAACCTGAATTGATTCTTTTGATGTAGTTGTAGTATGGGTGACGAGGGATTTAAGCGCAATTGGTTCGTCTACACACAAGGCAACACCTTCATGGCTTAATTCAAAGCGAAGTGAGCTACTTTCGATTCTGCCTGAATGATACAATCATCTAATTTTGTAATCCCAATGGGTCTGATTAGCTCGGGAGGTCTTTATAAACATTCTGTTCTCTTCTGTTCACAATAAACGTTTCTCTGATCAGCCATTTTTTTCATACTCCTACGCAACCTTAACTTCATTCATTGATATTTTGGAAGTATGTTTGCAATATCAATACTGATCTGACTACCTGATGCCTTTAAACACAAATACCTTTCCCCTATATAAAAGATAAACAGAAATACTGAATCCGATAAAGTAGGCTACTTTACTCAATTAACCTTCCGTAGAATAACCTGAGTGCTCCTGATGTGTAACAAAGCAGAACTAGTGGAAATCCGGCAATCATTTCTCTTTGATGCGTGCGATTTCCATTTGATCAAATCATTCATCATTATGCACAGTGATTCTAGCTTTCTCAAACGTTTTCGTGTGAGAAGGCACAACATTTGCTTTGGCGATCTGGAAGACGGAAACTCAATGAAGCAGTGAACGTCAGACATCTGTTCCACCAAGCGATAGTAAGTAAGCATTTGAGAGAATTGGAAATATGAGTTGATTTCATTTACTCAGGATTTTTTCGTGTCTGTTGTAACATTCATTTGAGAATTGAAATCTGCCTACTCATACCTTCAATCACTGACAGCACACTGTGGGATGTTTTCAGGTGAACCATTACTAAGGAAATATATTTTTTGTTACCAGAATCTGTCCGTAACGCACGTTGATTACAAAACAAAAGTAGGAATTTTATTATCGACTTTATGTGGACCCAATGAACATTTGTGTGATCAGAGTTAATCTACTCAAAAAAATTTTCGGTGACTTTTGGGCGAAAACTTCATGAAGTTCGCTGATCAGCGGTGTATAATCACAGATCAAATGCCGCAAAACGTCAAAACATTTTTATAACCATCCTTATTTTTATGTCATTTGCGTTTTTGCCTCACTGCTCATTTTGAGAACATTATCTCACTCATGTATGAGGTTTTCAGTTCCATAATGAGATTATGAACTTTTGATTACATTAACCAAATTTCTTCCAAGGTAAGTCGCCAATTAGCATCAGACAGACAGTCATTGAGAAAGCAGATGATAATCGACACTGTTCAGTTATACTCTGGGAAAGGTTCTTTTGCTCATAATCGTATCAAGTAACACTGAGAGACTTTATCAAAATAATTACAGGTCATCAGAGATTAGCAAAACGAAGATTTGTCAATAAACCAACCAAATATATATCGCCTAACAAATATGCAAAGGATGTGAAGATGGGTTAGACATACACTGAGGAGACTGATGAGTAGCATAAGTAGTCACACGATCTTTCCAGTAATAGCCAAATGGGAAAAAATGAGTCAAGTGTTTGATGGAAGTGCAGATAAGAGCTACAATCACTTGAAAATACTGCAGTGCACAAAGCAAAACGGTGATCTACTAGTGAAGGTCGATGTTTCACTCTAAACATGGATCAATTTAGTGTATGCTGAGTAACAGATGATCACCAGTGATAGATAAGAATCAGAGTATTTAGATGGTGAATTAAAGCTGGTAATAGAGTTATTCATTCTGTACTCAATTGAAATACCTTAAAAATAACAATAACAACCATTCAACAACAACATCACAAGACCAGAGTTCATTCACAATGATAAATATAAAAATAGAAAATAGAACGTCGTTCAAAGTACAATAAATGCAGCTACATACCACTTATATAGACTCTGTTGATGTACACTGAAACATATAAGTGAGTGAATTGAAGGCGTGAACAGCATTTAATCAATTTAGAGTTAGGTGAGTTTAGATATAGATGAATTTCAAGAGTTTTGCTGATAATGAATTGTGGAATATTTGTCAATTAATGTTTGTGATTTCCAAGACACTGCTTGTTAACATAAAATATGCAATGGAATAATAATTCCAGTTGGGCATAAAAAATGCTACAAATTTAAATCATTTTGGTTTTTCAAAACAACATACTCACGAGATTCCAAGTTAATCTACGTAACTCTTAGACATAGCGTTCTTAAGAAGGGTGTACCCTTCAACAACTCTGATTGCGGTTCACTTACCTTGAATACGGAAACTGTTAGCTGTTCAAAGATGCAAGGGAGATATAAGGAAACATTGTTATGATTATATTATTATTATTGCTCGCTTGAGTTCCTAGTGGAACATAGGGCTCAAACTGCACTTCTCCACTTGCTTCTATTGTCTGCTTTACTTTTCACCTGCATCCATGTTAGTCCATACTCGTTCAATTCCTCTTCACACGATCTCTTCCATGTCACTGTTGCACTGCAGTCACACTCTTTTCTTCCCTCTTGGGTTCCACTCGAGGGCTTGACGCGCGATGTCAACCAGCGATCTCCTCACCGAGTGTCCGATCCATCTCCACTTTCTCCTGCATATTTGTCAGGCAATTTATTCTTGTTCTGTTTGTTTTCATAGTTCCTTGTTATACCCAAATATAATGAAGGATGGATTAAACAGATTATTGCAGGTAAACAAAGCCTAGAATCCACTGTCGATTTAAGGAATCATATCCATTTTGCGATTTGTGTTATAGATGATCTTGGATATAAATTAGGATGATAAAATATTATTGAACCAGATATTATTTGAAAGTGAGTGAATGGATGACGAAGAATAATGTACGCAAAGATCGTTTCGGATGGTATAAACAATAATGTCGAGAATGAGTAGGATTCCACGCCAGATAATGCATACGTAGAGCGTACGAAACGCGCAAGAAACTCATGAGTACTATTGTTATCTGACATGCTGATGATAATCATTTTTGACTGGGAGGCAGTCCTTTGTAGGGATACATCATTTTATCAATTTCAACATAGTTCACGTTGCGTTTCTCATTTAGACATTGTCATAGCCGTATGTAGTCTCAGAATAAATAAAGACAGGTTACAGAACTTCGTTAGCTGATCCTCATAGAAAACGTATGCTTGGAATTTTTCATAAACACGGTCAAATCGTCTACATTCAGAAGTCAATTGTTGACCTTCTGAGCTGGACCAGAAAAATTCGTCTCAAATCATCTTGCTGCAGCACATTTTTACCATTTTGAAAAAAAATTTAAAGGTTCACTAAAAACCAAAAGGGAAAGATAACTGCACTTCTCTGTCAGGCTTTCTTCAATAATTTGTGAACTGTGATAGCTTCAGATACCATCCTTGAAATCAGTGCTATTGTATAATTCAAAATTGAATTCTACGTCATCTCCATAGTGTCACAAATGCTAACCTTTCACAGGCTTCATTCAAATATTTCAGGTTTGCCGAATGTCAATTAGTTAGGGGGCTCGTTTCTGGACTACGTTGAAAGTAAACATGAACAAAAAACTGAAGGTTTGTTGAAACATCGGCACTGTTTTATTCATAGAACACAAAGCTACCATCCACCATTGCACAAACCTGTCTTCGAAAGGTAGGCGTATTTATGTATTTATAGTGTAACGTGTAATCAAATCAAGTACATCATTTTTACGTGTTTAATGGTTTTGGTGACAATGATCACTACGACCTGTGTAGCAACTATGTAAGTCTGTATTGTAATTATTTTTCTACATTCTGCTGATTTTAGTCCAGCACTTCGAAATTTGTACGACACCTTTTACATGGCACTGGGTTTTCTGTGAGTTATTTGATGTAAATTATAACATTTATTTCCTTGTGAGCTTCTGAATAGTGATGCCTGGCAGTGAAATCTAGAGTTCAGATTTCTCCGTTTTTGAGACTCGTTAGGAAGACACAACTGTATTTTTAGTAATAACTGGTGCTTCCTTTGACCCTTGTCACTTACTTATACATGATAGACACTTCGTGTGTCATGGGTATAAATTACTATTTGTTCAACTTAATATTGTATTTCCCTTGATTGAGACAGCTAAGAATAAAATGTCCAGCCACAGGTGACCTGTTAGCTTATTAAAGGATGTTTCGTGAAATTTCAGGGATGCACACGTCATTCAGAATTTGGCTACTATAAAATGAGAACTAAGGTTAAATGGAATCATCAAAATAGAAATAAAAATTATTTCCAACTAGCAATTAGTTACTTGACTTTATTATTTGGTCAATAATAATAATAATGATTTTTTGCTTTATTCCAAAAACAGTACTAATGATACAGTAAAGAACTGTGAGCATTCAATAGGATATTGCATCTAATTTTTTCAATAACGACAAAGAAATTAAAAATACACATTACATAATAGTAATAATAATAAAACGAATGTTATAGCAGTTACATAGCAAAATACTGTATCAACATGGAGAAGAATATGCATAAAGTATAAAATTGTAGTAATAATAGTAATACCAACTAAAATTAAATAGCAGAGTAATAATTAAACGATAGAAAGTGTAACACCATAAAATGCAGAAAGATGAACAATGAAAGGGTCGATCTACTGTGCTAATTACATAGTAACTTATGTGTTTCACGTCTAACAGAGTCTTCGTCACATTAAGTTAGGGCTAAATAGGGTATTGCAGAATTTCCGTACATAATGGTACGAGCATTAAAATTTTTATATTGACTTCTCGTCCTACCTGATGAGATACAAGGGGATAGTTGTAAATAAAGGACGGGGGAATGCAGAGGGTCTGACAGTATAGCATTTGCCCATTTCGTACAGGAATTTATATGCCTCTCGACTATAGTACTGGCGAGCTCATTCAGTGGTAGACCACAAGCCCTACTCACAGCATTTAATACCTTTCGTAATATGATATAATCTTTTTTGAGAAGCCCAGGAAAGATTAATGGGGAGCAATAGAGTATAATAGGTAAAATACAGGAGTTTAAAAATTGCAAAACTAAAGGTTGGTTGATACCTGCTACGATGGCTGAACGCTAGTCACCAATAGAATAGCCTTTAACTATTTGTGAAAAAACGATGTTTAATGTTGTTGATTTTCCCAAACTATTTTTATTATTTGGCTTCTTCAGTGTACTCGGTGCAATCCCTGTGTCAATGTTAATCATTATTGAGAAAGTTAGAGAGATATTTCCACTTAATGAAGTACTGATCTCACTTTCGGTGAGTTTACCTAGTTTGATTGGACAATTCATATATTTTTATTCCAAATCCCTAACAATTACGCAAAATAATCGCTATAAATCAACGACTGGACCGCACATTTGTAATTGATGCTACAGTCTCATTCATCACAGATTAGTCACTTCGTTGACTCGAACGACGCAATAAGATGATGATTCTTTTCTGCTGACTGCAGACTTCAGCGAATGTTATGTTGACTGGAAATGTTTTGTGTATTATATGCGTGATCTCTTTGTCTTCATAAAGTGTATTTCCAACTGTTGCAACTGAGGAGGATTTTAAAGTGGTGAAAAATTATCGACAGACAACTCGATATGTCCAATCGATTAGGTGTAGAATTGTGGAGAGCTGTAGGCCACTGTGATATCATGGTGCAATATATACTAGTTCAATGCACAGAATAACAAAGTTCAGAATGAGAGGAAGAGGCGAAATGGCGGAAAGAATGTTTCACGTATGTTGATAACTCCAGTTCATAAATCTGAGATGTGTAAGCGTCAAATAATTTCCTGTCAACAAGTGTGGTAAATAAACTTCCAGTGAGAGAGTTATTTACAAGCGTAAAATGTTTTAAATTTTTACTTTAGAACCCGTGTGAATATCACACCACTACAATTACATTTTGACAAAATGGCATTACATTCCCCCAAGATACGCCAACTGCTAAATTTTGTTTGAGTCAGTGCCTAGTTGAATATTAACGTGGGAACTTAATTGATGTGATCAACTTGTGATATGAAGAGTGTTCAATTTGCTTGAGTTGTCCCTCAAGAAAATACGTGTACTTTCGATTCTTTCATAAAATTCCCCATAGTTTCAGATTGGTCCATCTAGTTTATAAATGCACACTAATCACATTATTATTAGTCTCTAAGGAGACAAGAAACTCAATCATGTTTCTATCCGAATATTAAACCAAATAATAACGAGTACCACAATAGCACTTTTTCCACATTTTACACGTAACTATTAAAGTTAATTTGTCCAGATAAACCCACTAACGATTTCATAACTCAATGATGAAAATCCTGTAACCAGTCTATACATGTTGTAGGTCTTATTATGGTCTTTTGCAATACCTGCAGTCACCAAATCCATGAGATTTTTAGTTTTTGCACCATGGGGTATTACAGTCATCCTAGATGTGGTGGCATTGATAATTGGATACAAAACTGTGAAACAGAGTGCGAAAGTGAGCATCATACTATTGGGCATCGCTGGTGGAATCATACTGTTGGATATCATTCTGTTAATTGCTTTAAGAGTTGCTCAGCGTGAAGTAAGTAGCGTGTTATTTGGTTGAGAAGTAAGTTGTCCTGTGAATGATGCATGTCGGTTATTATTATTTCTCGTGTAACTGGTCATATATTGTGCAGGACAGTTTATTAGAGCATATATCAACAATGTATAACACACCAATGTATTGTGGCAGAACTGTCCATTAGTCAAATTTCACTCAGTAATCAAATGACATATCACAGTTATGTTCATTTCCCTGGTTTGCAAATCGATCCGTGCCTGTACAGTTCAAGATTCATAAAGATATGAATTTACATAACAGTCTCAAATTCCTTTCACTTGCTAACGCCATATAACTTTTCCATACACATGAACTATACAGCAGACAAACTTACGAAATCACTTATTGCATCAACCATCTACTGTATTTCAGTAATTTAAATTGTCACCGATTCCTTTCACCTTGACGTGGTATTTGACTTTGTATACCTAAGTGACCCAATGAGATGCACCTTCTATGATTAGTGTTACTGCAGGTCGTGCCATGACACAAATTTTGTTCTGATAATGGTGAGACTAAGAACGTTATTGTCATAGTGTGGATTGTTCGCACTGTGTTGAATGATTTAAGGTTAAGTTGTGGTAATAGAAAGTCAATATAATATCAGTATGGTGTCTCCTTTAGATGATCTTCAGGCTGGCTCTCCTGACTCTTTACCCTGTACAGCATGAATTAGAAGATGTATCGTAAAAATCGGGTATCCGACTGATCATGCTGTGATCAGCAGCCAGTGGTTAGATACTCCTACGTCACTCAGGTAATTTAAGCGCATAGCTTATGTATTTCAGCAAGTGATATCACATTTGTGAAGTCTGTGTTAAGTGCTGAGTTCTAAATATTATTGTTACAACCTCATCAAATTACCGATAGGTCACCTAAAGAGAGTACAGTGTAAGTGATGCTGACTGATTGAAAGGGCTACTGACAATAGCCTGCGCGTCGATAACCACCAAACACTGCAGATGTTATACAGTCATGTGGTGGATGACATGGAACATAGATAAAGAGTCGGACATAAGGAACTGAAAGTACTAGTACAATATAAAAGACAAATCACCAATTTATTATTGGTTCATAATACTTTCTATATCTTCCTTGCAGCTAATTGCAGTTATTCTGTGTGGCATATTTTTAGCCTTCGCAGTACTCATAGTAAGTCAGATGTTGAATTTTTGACAGTATTTATTATTTGGAATTTCGATTTCTCCTCACAACTATTTAACGACTTCATCAATAAATAGTCGTCTTCTTTCATTTGTCCTGTATCTAACCCACTGAAATTAAGAAAAGGTGTAAACAGCGAAGAAAATTTTCTTTTCGACGATTCATTTTCATGAGCTGTACAATCGTGATTATATTAAACAAAGACTTCTTTAGACCGATCAGATACGGGTAAACTTTGCACTGGAAAATGTATTACATAATATAAGGTTTAACCTAGAAGGGATGACTAATAGTAAGTTAGAGAAGAGACAGAAGTTGACATGACATATTTACTGTGAGAAAACGGCCAATCAATAAGCTCGTAGAGATTGTACAGGAATCAGTAGAAAGGCGATAAAGTGTTATTTCTATAAAATCTGTATGAAGACGCTAAGGTTAAAATAAACAAAAATAGAGTGGTAATAAAATATGCAAGATGGGAATAATAATGATAATAAAATAGTAGCAGTAATAACAATAATATCTGTGATCTTTCATAATAAAAAGAAAAAACAAAACTATAGCAAGAAGTGTACTCTGAACAAGGTAGGGCGAGAGAATGTATGTTTCTCTTTGAAATGTAGTGGTCCGATTTCAGATCTCGAATAGCTAATGCTTCAGCTATGTACAGTGGGGTATGCAAAGTCCCTTTGCACGATATTGAGGGAATTTGTGTGACACTGTAAAGCATTCATGCGAGGATGACAAGGTGTTCGAGGATGAAGCTGCTGCTCTCATGTCATTTATGTATTACCAAGTTGACCATGAATAACGTGATCTTATAATTTGAGTAGCTCAACATATTGCTGCTTCTCCTGCACAACACTTTATGTCTTATTTAAGAAACTTCGCCTATATCACTCATATGGCTACATCAGTCTCCAGTTCCGAGGAGATTTGACTTTCCAAATAACATATGTTGAAAATAAGTTGATTTCCAAATCAAGCCTCAGTTTGAGAAGGTCATGTAAATTAACTGAGTAATCTCTGAACAGGAAGATCATTAGTCGAATCAATATATGTGCGAAGCTTGAAGACAGTGATTTTCACATTTTGAAGTTAGTGGCAATCTCCTTGAAGCGATCACTCACATAACTGCTGGCGCTTCCTCGTTTTGCTTCTCTGTGATAGGTATTATATCTCACTGGACAAGGTGTAAAGCGGTGCAACAATGAGACAACGAAGACCCTTCTACCGATGTGGTTATCCCTGATTACTTGGGCAGCTAGTGTTTATTTATTCATATCCATAGGTGTGATGTTTATTGAAGGCAAAACGATGATACGTTGAAAACTGAAGGATGACACCCACCGCTTTTGAAGATCAAGTTCATTTATGCATGAAGAACTTTCAGCTGTTTTTCTATTTTGTTGGTTCTGTAGTAACAGTGAATTCTGTTTGAAATACATTTTGCAAATTCAATTCTTGCGTTCACTGACTGTTAAATACCAGGTATAATTTATTGAAGAGTTAGTTCACACAGACTGCATGGTTTGAGTGTTTATCAACTATTAGCATAAGGAAGTTTATTATGAATATGCTGCCAACAACATTTGAATATTTATCAGCATTGAATCTGCACACAGAAAGAGATTTTGGTTTTTAATCGAGCTAATTCAAATGAAACAGTCCTCACATGACTTAACATAGTGCATTCAGTTGTGAATGAATTATCTGTAAATTCAAACAGGTGTCTTCAAAGTCTCTTCATCTTCTCTCAGACTGTGTTTTGTGGATATCCTGCAGTGGGTTTAGCCTTACTTCCTCTCCAGTTGATTATTCTGTCATGATGTTAAAGGAGACATTTTCCTGTTGCAATAAAGCCAGCATTCGCACTTGTTGAATTCATGATAGTTAGAGCCTCAGACTAGTCGCGGTTGACATCTGGCCAATATGAATAGAATGCGAACCCTTCAGTTAAAAAATGGAATAATCCACTCATATTCAACCTTCTCACACACATTCCTAACATTTCTGCCTCTTTATTTGTTCCTGCAATCCATCTGGTTCAACCAGAAAGAAACATGTAGCTTACATTCTATTTACCCGCAATTACTTTAGCTTTAATCGTGAGAATGTTAATCAGTCGACAGAATTCGCAAAATCTTCAACGTCCTATTCTTGTTCATCATCAAACTTACAAGTCTTCCCCTTTTCACTGAATGAATAGTTTCTGTTTTAAATAAAGTATAATTATATTTTAATGGTTTACACACAATGATAAGTTTTGTTATTCGTAATATTTCGAGCAAAATTACTGCCCGTGTTCACACCACTGTTGGAATTGTTTTATTCGCTAGTTTTGAACTTTCATTAGCGGAGAAGTAGCTGTATCGCCTGGTTTCATTGCTTTTTTAAGATCAAGCTCAGAAACCTAAATGGTTTCTCTTGAGAAGTGTCAATATCTGTTGTGTTTCCAGTATCCAAATTATAATGATAACTCTGCTGTTATATTTGAATGAATTTCAGATGGCTCACTGTAATTACTTTTGTCAGTGACTGAGACGTATGAAGATATTTGCGATGTCATTCCATTCATCGCGTCTAGTGAAGTAATCTCCCACGGAACATCCACTCAAAGAAATGCTTGATCGAAAAAGGTTCGGAAGAACTTTTAAGAAAGTGGCTATAATATGCTACACTGTATCAGCCTTACCAAAAATTTGGTATACCTAATTAGCAGCGCAATCAGTATAATATCTGACTTTTAAGTCCTGATAATTAAAACCAATAAGACTCAGTTAATCGGAAATCTGAGCCGCATATTCCAACAGAAATTAAAGTTAAATTTTTTTAGGGAGAAGCGATTAGAAGTCATTTGATGAATTTTCCTGAACTGCATATTCTGGGAGTGAGCTTCTTATCGTCAGAAAGAAGTAGACTAAAAAGAGCCCTATGTCAGACGGTTGTGTGTGCGTTATAACGAAACTTGCGACACTTAAATCATTCTCAAGTGGGCTTAACTTTGATTTAGTTAATATTTGATTGATTCCGTTAGACCTATTTATTTCTGGAAGAACAAATTCGGTGAAGAAATATGTACCCTTTCAGTTGGTGCCTCATCACTGGCTTTACGCCAATATATAGTTTGTTTGCATGAAATTACAGTAATCGTTTGGTCATTTTATTTTCAACACAGTGTCTGCGAAGGTCCACGTAAAGGCCTTTTAAAGCAGCTAAGCTAAATTGTTTATTCACTAGCCAAACAACCAATACTCAGTTCAATAAATAAAGATGAACTGCCTTTTTTAGCCTCTTCTATGTGTGTTGGCCAGTTTTCACTACTTGTGCGGAGCCAGTTAGATTGAGCGTAAGACTAGGACTAAGTTCGGAGAAGCCTTTACGTGATTTAATATTATCTCATTTCGTGGTTACTGGACATCAAGTTGACTATAATGAAGCTTTGTAAGTCATTGATCCTATTTCACCCAACCATTAAAATTGCTGAACTAGGACGACTATCAAATACAGAAGAAGTAATCATATTTCATTTGAACAAGCCACGTCTGTGTGTGTTTGTAGATTCTTTTATTGCTGTGGGTAACTACACAATACGAATTTAGTATCGAAAATTGATTTGCGCCTCCTCTTGTAACAAGCTTTTTGCTCTATTTATTTTATTATGATTACAACTCTGGCTTATTCTATTAATTTATTTATACCTTATATGATTTCATTGAGTCAGCCTTCTCAGTTTAGCCAAAATTTCAATAATAAGGATTATGGGCATATTAGTGTGTCGGGTTTAGGTCGACTGAATGAGAGCATTTGTTCACGAAAACATTTCAGGTATGAGACGGAGAGTTTATTTAAAAAGGATATCTAAAATATATCTGATAATGCATGAAATTATTGACTGAGACATCACATTGTATAAATCACACTTTGTTACAGTTAAACGTAAACTGAGTTTATTTACTGAAGAGCAGGAACACACGAAAACATAGAAAATCATTTAGTTCAAAATAACACAAAATGATAATTTTATAGAAAATGTGATTTTCCGCTGTAATTTTGCTTGTCACTCGAATGAAACATAAAGTGTCAGTTTCAGTCAGCAATCAGTGTACTCCGTGATCTAAAACAACACAAATGAATAATCTGGTCGTATTAAAGAATTGATATAAGAATAAAACTTGTGCACTGTGATAGAGCATAATTCGATTATGGGTAAACATTTTTTGATCAAATCTCACAGTGTTATACAGTAATATTCACTGATGATCACATTTCGAGCACAATTGACTGCTCAAACAGAATCTTGTTTAAGAAGCAAACAAATTTAGCTACTAACATAGCTACTGATTTCGCAGTACGATAACTGTGTTGATTCTCCTAGGAAGGTTGTTTTATGGCGTCAGTTTACTTACTGTAATTTTTAACACACACACTAAATATAATTACTCATGAGTCTGATGGTCGTCAGAATATCTAACTAATTGAAAACATGCAACAGTGTTACTCATTTGTACTGCATATATTTGAATAGCTTAGATTAATGGAATCGCGGGAGTTTTATATTCTTAGTGAATTTGTTGATGCCTTCTTTAGAAGGTTCGTAATCTCTGCCATAAACTTTTTCACTATTCTGTAACCAATAAACACGTACTATTCACTAGAATTTTGCCAGTCAATCGTAAAGGGAATTTCGCAATTCTTTTTAAAGTGATATAGTCTTCAATTAGTGAAAGAAAATCAATTCCTGAAATTTTCCTCCGAGTTGTAGTGGTTGGTCGTTTACATTCCATAAGCTTAGGCCTACGCTGAAGATGTGACCAATATTCACAATATAACCGTCATGATAAAGTACAAAATCTCGATTAGTAACCGGAAAATTCCATCCTTCACCAATAAGAACAAGTATGATGATTAATTTATTGAAATGTTACCTTCCACTGATTACCTATCACGGAATATATGCATTTGAATGATTCACAAACAAGGTGACAGCCTCATTTATTTCAGCAGATTTCTATCAGCTGCACACATCCCTAAACGGTTATGACGTTTATGTACAATATACCTGAGTATTTTATATTATGTCAGCTGACAGGATGATCTAGACGTAATAAACTATCCAGAAATTACATTTATATAGCTGCTATGATAGAAATTGAAGCTTAATGAATAAAATTACTGGCCGGGTAGAATGGCAAAATAGATAACCATAATGACTGCAGGTTTCAACATTGTTTTCTCAGGGTTAGCTATTATGTCCATGAAAACAGTCAAATAAACTGCAATAAACGAGCTTTGATCAAATCGCTGTTTTACGGAGTCAAGGAAATTCACTATACAGAAAATCTATCGGAAGAATTTCTGAATCTAAAAGATTCTGCGAAGCAACGGTCACCCTTAGACATTCACCAATCTGTATGGCAGATATGAGGGTTTCAATGGGAAACAAATCACAGTAGAAAAGAATCCTATTTTCATTCATCTCGACCTTAAAAGTGTTAATATTATAGGGACAGTCGACAACCTTCAATCCTACAAATCAGTTGGTTCCGGTTCATTGAGAAAAGGGCTCTTTGGTGCGGTCAAATTTCGACAGATGTCTTTATGATATCAACTGTAACATGATAAAGAAATTTGCACGTATCTTAGATAGCAGTCACATTGCCAGAACAGAATGTAGGAAACACTCATTTTACGAAAATGTAATAAAGTGCATGCCTCTTAACTAAACAAACATTTGTAGTAGTACCTTACTCGACATTTCGTCGATACGGATTATGGTGTGGATATCATGAAATACCTAAATATTACCAAAAGACTAAGTAGTTATGCCTACCAAAACATTCACCATTACACGCATGAAACGTGATTCATTTCTCTCGTAAAGAAGTAGTTATCAATCATCCATCACCACGGTAACTGAATTTTTTTGATATCTACCTCCTCTTCCCTCTTTGGTGTAACTTCCTCTATCTGTTTCTTTCTATAAATAAACGTACAATTCGCAGTCACTGAGAATTATTATTATTATTTATTATCAATCTACCTCATAGTTAAGATTTCCCTACATGAAGTAATACCTCAGTTATGTGAATTCGAATGAAGAATTAAGACTGACTTTATGAGTTTTACGAAAAGGAAGCCTTATTTCTACTTTTATTGGTGCTAAGGAACGTGATAGGCAATAGTAGTATGTTCAAAGACTAGTAAGTCAATCAAAGTCTATATCAGTACACTACTCACTGAACATTTAATTTACCAAGACCACGGATTTCATCTGGATTGGTTATATTGGTAGGATTAAAATTTGCACCATTATTTCATCGGTACAGTTTCATTGAAATTTGCTAATTTTGACCTTGTATTTACATTTTAGAATAAGCCAAATTTAAGCAACCTTCAAATGTTATGACAGTTGGGCAGAGGATAATAATAAACACTCATGAGTGAATTAAG